TGCAGAAGGGAGGTGTGGTTGCAGGAATAGAGGTGTGGCTGCAGGAGGGGAGTGTGGCTGCAGGAATAGAGGTGTGGATGCAGGAGGGCAGGTGTGAGCATGGACACCCCACATCAGCAGATGCATCAAGCCATAACCTGCTGCTTTAGCAGGAAGAAGAGATTCATGTTCACACTCACAAAATTGACACAAACCCAGTTGCTTATGTAAATGCCCAAGGATGTTTTCACAGCTTTCATAGTGTCCCAGCATGATCCAGCTGGCAAGATGATCCCCTCTCACACACACACCTGTAGTTTGTTTAAGACGAGATGTTGAAACAATAATCACCATCAATCAACGTTAATCTTAAAGACAGCGATATTTCAGGTTCTCCTTTTACTGTCTCATTAAGGCTGGAATTAATGTTTCTAAATTTGTATAGCAGTGGATTCAGAATCTGTGCTTTCAAAAGCAATTTATAGCTTTCTACGGCTTGTAATTGAAACCTTCTTTTTAGAAACAAGATTGGGTTTATCCAAAGCACACTTTAAAATTGTATTTTAAATTGTTATGCAGATTTAGAAATGAAAATGTTTTTAATTCAGATTCATTGATGTTAAAAATAAGAACATAGGTACATAAAAAATGTTCATTTAATTGCTCAGTAGCCTATTGACCCAAGGATCAAGTCCAGCTGTTTCTGGAAGGATACCAGGAAATCCAAACAGTTGGATCCAGCTCTTTCCATAACCATGCTGAAGTTTGCTCATCCAATCTGCCTGTTCTTACTGCTACAGCACTTTAACCCTAATGTGTCCAGACAGGACTGGGCTCCCATCACAGTGTACAACTGTCTCCATAGCAACTGTGTAATAATTTTTGTGCCACGTGAGTGGCCAGTGTACATGTCTGTATCAGAAGAGTGGTGTGTGCCACCGAGATAATCAGGCTCATGTTTAATATAACACTGTTGTAATTACACTGCCAGCTCCACTTGTGCTCCACCATAGCAGACAATTCAGGAATCATGTAAGCCCACACATAACATGCTTTCCCTCATTTCTTGTACTGTTCATTTCTAAAGCTATATTTCAGCTACTGTGTACACCTAAAGAGACAGCCCTGTGGCAGTATTAGTGGATAAGATCACAAACGTTGCCCTCTGCAGGTAAAAGGAAGTAAAAAATGCAGTATTTTTGCTAAGATAATGGCCCCCCCTTGTGGTTATTTTTCAAATAGCAAATAAAGGTGTGTTTAATGTTCCCAGAAATGATTTATTAAGCATTTTTTATTTTTGCAGAAGAAATTAAACATGTGCCAAGTCATATATTACATCCTGTCCTAAGGTCCAAATACTCAATTTAGGAGTCAAATTTAGGCATTAGACCTTTCAGTTGATGTGACACTGGACTAAATAGTGGAATGGTATTAAATTACATCTATTAACTTTCTATCCGCTTTATCCAATATTGGGTCAGTTGAAGCCAGAACCTATCCTGGCAAGCAAGGGACGCAAGGTGGGATACATCCAGGACCATCTATGAATATTAACTTGAGAATTTGTATGGATCCCTATAGCTAACTGTCTCCCTAAGTGCTTATTAAATTTCCAATTCTGAAGTTGAATCAATTGCTTTTGTCAATACTTTTCAGGCTATTGATAACTTCTGTAAGGAGGAAACAATCTCCTCTGTTCACGAATGAAAACATTATTGTAACCTCTGTAAACCTACTTGTAGTCATTTCCATTGAATAATAAGCATATTTATGAAGAAATGCAGATGTACATTAATTCTGCTGTTTTCCAAAGGATTGACCAAACACAGCAGGTACAAGTACAAATATTTTTGTACTGGCAGGTCCATAGTTACAGCCTCTATAAATACATTTGCATTAGGCAAAAGTTTTAACAAAACATTAAACATGATTAGAAACAGAAGCTTATTTTTTAAAGTTAATCTTTACAAGCTGAAAATGTTTTATGTCATTTACTCACAATCTCCTATGCATTTATATACTGTTTTCATTCCAAAGGATTCCAAAATGCTTAACATATAGGAGACACCTCCCCTTCATCCCAATGGGTGATGTACGACAACCATTATGCTCGAGCAACCACACTACACAGACCAGGCAGACAAGCAAAAATCATCTTTATTTCACTTAATACCTAGAAAAGCCAACAACTCAAAGAGAGACAAGTAATGGTTTATTCCATGTTGAAAAAAAGAAGAAAGAAAACCCAACGTTTCAGCCATGGACCCTTCTTCAGGTGTGAGAAAGACAGGGCAGTCAGCAAAAGTAATGTAGCGGGAGAACAAAGGCTGGGAGAGAGGAGGAGCGAGAGGCGGGAGCAGGGGACAGAAAGAGAGGCCAATCAAGAAGTGTGAAGTCAGAATAGGTGTAGAGAGGTATGAAATGAAACCTTCAATGAACCTCTCCATTCATTTAGAAGACAGCATCTGCTACAACAGTGGTACCAGTCACCATACTGGGGCAATTCTTGGAAAATTCTTGCAGAAGGAGGAGCATCACCTACTGGTTCACCAACATCACTGACAGCAGTGACCCAGTTTTCTTCAAAGGTCATCTCTCCCAGTACTGACCAGCCCAACCCTGCTTAATTGGCAAGATCTGACATAATCAGTTGAGAAGGTGGCAACAGTGGTGTTACATAAAAAGTACATTAACTCAATTTTTCAGCAAGTTCAATAAAATGCTAAGTGACCAAAAACACAATTAAATCAAATTCTAAATTAATCCAAAACACTCTGATTACGGAGTACAAATAATTACACAAAATACCAAGTGCAAGGAATTTTAAGGTACTATAATTTGGATTTTTGTTTTCAAATCGTCTTTAGATGTGTTGTTTCTAAGCTCCATTTCTAAACATATGTCCACAAAAAATAAACTCTGCACCATGTAATTGAGGGTAGGTGTTTATTGTCACACTGAAGATAAACACAATATGCACACAACAGGAAACCAGATTAGGAGCACATCTTGAATCCCAGATGGCAGTCAGCCACACAAATATATACAGCACAATGAAGCTTTACAAAGAGTCAGGCATTTTTTTCATAAACTATACATATTATTTTAAATGTTAAATATTTTCTTCCACATAATACAACTTCATTTGATCAATTCCATTACAATAATTTAAATTCTGCTGCTACCGTATACTTTCCAAGAAAGTCTACATCTATAAGAGGGGAAGGAGCACAGCTCAACCAAGCTGCTTCTAGACAGAACCGACACAGCTAGCAGACAGAACCCCATGAGTCTCTCCAACCACAGTACACCCATAACTAAAAAAGTGATTATTCCATCTAAGCCACATTCCATCTTTGTACTATTCATGGCAAAACAACATCAAACCTCCACCACATAACCCCAAATAACAAGGAAAACAAATATGGTTGTGAACCCCAAGTTTAAGCACGTTTGTTATGATGCCCAAACCATTACAGTACAGTATAAAACAGTCTATAATTACAACATTGTTTCAATAAATCTGGAGAAAGTGGAGCCCTGCAGAAGGAGTTGGCTTCATAACTTATTTTTAATGTGTCTTACTCAAAGTTTTCTTCTGTCATATTTTTTAAACTTTAATCTACACTGACGCCCTCATTGACACATTTGCCACAAAAGCTTTTTATCTTTCAGTTTTAATGCTTTCACAGAGATTGGCAATCCGGATCACGGTGAAAATCAAACAGCACACCCAGATATTTTAACTGAGCACTAATGACGGAGAATATTCCTTTTAGAAACACAATTCTGACTACTCAAATATGGGGTCTATACATTACATGCAACATGCTGAAAGAGGTGATAAGAAACAGAACCCTATAAGGAACACTGCTTGCTTGAAACAATAAAGGGAACAACACCTGGATGTCCACAACAAAATTCAGTGAAAAACAAAATTCTACATCCATACAAACAACTGAAATAACACCTGACAGTGGAATGTTATAAGTTTCTCAAACACGCATACTGTAAGTAACACTAAAACTGAAGTTCTGCTTTGGAACAGAAGCCACTGCAGTTCTCCAGGTGCCCCTGCGGCTGAGATTGTTACTAAGGGCTCTTCCAGTCTGTATTCTGTACTGTGTGAGTTCTGGTGATGCACTTCTGGGTCTGAGATACCCATCACTGTGTACTACTATCAGAATGAATATGGCAAGAAATCTAGGGCCAGTAACAAGTATTTCAGTCCCGGACGAGTCATACAAACCATTTGGTCCTCTGGTCAGCATGCAGTTCTGGGGCTTGTGAAAGTGTTGAGAATAAGGGAAAGTCCAGCTTCAGCGAAGCAAGAAACCAGTCTGCATCACTCGTTTGTGTGTCTTAGGCTGTGAAGATTATCAGACTGACTATGTCCCATCAGAGGCCTTTTCTAAAGGCAGTAGGACACGTTTCAGCTTAACTGACAGATCAGTGAACAGAAAACAAACAGCAGCAACAAAAAAAAACTGGGAAAAATTGGGCAAAATCTAAAGTATTAAAGGAAAACGATTACAAAAAACACCAACTCAATTTGTACAACTAGATCCTTAGAGGGCAATTTAATGGTAACAATGAAGGAATTAAAATAAACTGAACTTGTACATTGTATTGTACTTAAACCCTCAATAACAAATCTGTCGTGTTTCACAATAAAAACCCATCAGGTAAAATGGTTCTCACTGACCCAGAGGGTTATTACAGTTTGAACCAAATGAGCAGCAATTCTGAAAGAATCAAGGGAATCACAAGACTTTCACATTAAGAACAACTGTTTTCAAGCTGTAACAATTAAGAACACAGTGTTTCTGTGAACATCACCTTTTACATGGGTGAGAACGTACTAGGAGCATGAAACTCTTCAGGAAACTGCAGGTCAGGTGATGATGACATTGCATAATGAACCATGCTTTCTGTAGCCAGATCCCAGGAATACATGTAAAATAAAGACAAATCCAATTTTTTTGCTAGGAATAACCTGATGCTAGCTAGACAGAACCAGGCTTAATTTCCATTTGGCGCCTTTATTTCTTAAAATCCAGCTAGAAACAATACCAATTAAATAACTAAACTAGCCAATTTAAAAAAAAAGAGATGAGACACTTCGTATAACAGTACAATATAATTTTCCTTGTATGGTTTTTATAATTTTTGAAATGATCATACAAAGTGATAGACCATCACATACAACCTGCCAGTGCAGAACTCTGCAGAGCTTGCTTTAGAATATGGGGATGTAGTTGTCGATCTTGGCTCTGTGTCTCTGAGCAATGCACTCGGCGATCCACACGATGTTTCTGCACTCCTGCTCTTTCAGCTTCACATAGGCATAAAACACACTGAAGTGGAACTGGTTCAGAAAAGCCAACTTGTTCAGCTTTACCTGAAAACAATACAGAATGTGATCCACATGCGGACAAAACCACTTTTCAACATTTAGGTCAAATGTTCATAACTTCTCAAGTACAGTTCCATACATTTTAATTGCTCAAGATGTGCAACAAACCAACCAAAGAAAATAAAATACTAACTCAAAAGCCAAACCATCATAGAGCTCCTTAAAAGAAAGCTCAAGTTTGGATTTCACAATCCATTTTTTTTGTAAATTATGTTGCAATACCCTCTGTAGAAACTTAGAATTGGCCTGTTAAAGGGATCTGTAATACGCCTCTCCAGCATACAATATGTAAACAGCGTAGCTAACAGCAATGTCCTGCATTGATCTTTCTTGGCATTACTACTGCTATACTTGTTTTCATAATGAAGCATGTGGCAGTAAAGCAGACAAACAAATGTGTTAAGGATAACCCCCATCCAGAATCTCCCTAGAGCTTTCACGTTCCTCACCTCGTGCTCAAAGAATCTGTCTTCAAGAGTTTTATCTCCAGGGTTACTCCCAGCCCCTTCAAAAAGAAGTTTATATTCCTGCAATAGACATAGAACACATTGTTTTCATCCAGCTACAACTCTTCAGTCTGCTTCGCTCACATAGCTGTTGAAACTGGTGAAAGCAGTATAAAAAAACGTATGCATTGTTGCCAGTCAAGCAATGATTCATCATTTAAAAGGGCAAATTATTAATTTATCGGGAGATTCCACATTGCCATCTGTCTTTACACTAATAGTTGTATTAGGTGGACTGTAAGCAGTACAATTATTGCTTCATTATTTGTCATCATCGATCTTTAACAATTATTTGACAATAGATTTTCTATTCCACACAGGATTATTTATAATTGCTGACAACATACTTAGCAGAATTTTGCCTATTCAGTAGTATATTGATAGATTGGCGGATTAGTCCACCAGGCCTTCACTGGTTCAGCCAAAAACTCAAGTGAGGACGTTACGCAAGATTACAGTGTATAACAGCATAGAAAATAGAAGCAGCCCATCTGGTTCACCATAGTGCTACACATCACCATCATCACAGCGTCACACTGAGCAGCCAGCAGTGCCTACCAGGACACCCAGCCCCACCTTCACACCCAGGTCAACCTCAGTACACTCACAGGGTAGTAGTCTGCCACTGCCTTGACCTGCTCATAGTCATCAGCCCGGGCCAGCTGGGCCAGTCCCTCCGGGTACAGCTTCCCACAATGAGGAAACAGTTTGGCCCTGTCCTCCTTTGACAGCTCCGTCCCAAAGGAGTTAATGGTGATGATGAAAGCTCTTCTGTCGGCTTCAAACTGCAGATGGACACACACAGTCAGCTTTGCTACAGTGGGCCTACTTTCAACTACAGCCATTTAATAGAGACTAAAAGATCTGTTCTAGTTGATTTGGAAGTAGTTTCCTAAAAGGATACAGAGATAGAATTTAAAGCTGTAGGAGATAGTGCAGCATGATGAGATGACCTGCATTAGCTCACCTCAAGGATAGGACACATGGTGTCTGCTGTAGTGCCACCCAGGGTTGAGCAGAACTTGTAAAAAGACTCCAGGTAAGCCTAAGAAATTAAAGGCAGGGAAAGCACTGAAAAAACAGAACACCAAACCATCACACTTAACATTTGTTTTTTTACAATAATCAAGAAAAAAAGTTTACCCACATGAAGGTAATTGTTCATGGCACAGATGCCTGCATGGGTGATTTCTGTACCTTTTGCACTGGGGAACTTCCTGTTTCCACAATCTTGAACTGTGTGGCCAGTGAAGGGATTGGCAGCTGTCGACCATTAGCTATTAACTCATTGTGGGTTGTGACCCATTGCACAACTGTTTTCTGTTTCTCTTGTAGGTTACTATTTGTCCTTGGGTAGCCATGGCATGCTCACCATTATAGACTGGGTTCTACCCAGTACTACGTACTAAAAAGTCTGTATCAGCACACCCTAAATCCTGAAAACTGGGTGGGTATTCAGCTGAATGTCAGCCATCAGCCAGAAGAGGAAGATGTGGAGACTCTTTACAGATTCCACACTGGAGAGAAAACAGAAAAACTGCTGCTCCTCCTGTCTGCGGGCAACCTCACCTTATAAAGAGTGTTCCTGATAATTTCAATGTTCATTTCATCCAGGTCTTGCTCAGATATACAGTCCTGGAAGAAGGCAGCTGAAAGACAGAACATTTAAAGGACTTGTGAGGATGGCATGTTAAAGTTTATCATTAAAAGTATGAATGTACTTAAAATGAACAAAGTGACTATTAACATATTATGGAAACCTAAAAATTATTTTATTTATGTTTTTTAATTGAGAAAGAGATCCCTTTTCTTAGACTAAAACATTTGTGTTAAAATTTACACTTGTAGGGAGAATCCTAGTTGTAATGGTTGGGCACCTGTGACTGTTATGAGATGAAAATGTTAAAGCGCTGATCTGATTCACTATTCACCAGTCCTACGCTTTGCACACTGTAAGGAGCTGCTCACCCAGAGGTGTGTCCACCAGGATAGCGTTGTAGAGCTCAGCAGGGGTTTGAGCAATGTTCACTGCCTCCATCTGCTCAAAGCTGCCTAAGGGATGACATTTGGGCACCAGCTCAGAGATGGAACGCTGGTGCAGGGTGCCCGTTATCAGGAGGATCACATTGTCAATCATGTAGCTGTACCTACAAACAACACAGCAGAGAGACCAGTCACTGCCAGCGAACAGTCTGGGCCTGGCTTGTCGAGAGTAACAGCAGAGAAGCCCAGAATTAGTGAAAAATTAAGGTCAATAAAATCACTGGGGATAGCCCATGTCCTCAACAACTGCTGTATTTTCCTTTCTGTATTTTTTTGTTTTAGAAATCTTATGAGCTTTATCTTTTCCTTCCTGTTCCGCTTTGCCGCCTGTACTGTAATCTCTCGTCTGCAGTGCCCACTTACGTGATGAAGTCCATGAAGCTGGCCAGTGGCTCGTAGGACTGGTTCCTCATGTGGCGAAACTCCACAACCATTTTCTCCTTCAGCTTGTCGTCGATGACAGAGACAGTGAGGGGGGAGGCCTCGTTCGCCAAGAAGTTCCCATAGTCCGTGCTCTGAAGGTGCAGCTTCAGGTCTGTTAAAGATGGCGAGCACATACATCAGGCACCTGAGCCCTCAAAGCCCAACCACTGCACCACACTCTCTTGGCTCACATGCCCCACTTTTGAGTGGCGTAACAGCCCCTCCTGAGAAAGCAGAACAGAAAGCCCAAGGCTGGAAATTTTACAGCAAAATGTGTTTCAGCAACTGCCTGTTTTCCACCACAACCCAGGAATGTTGCTGTGTCAACACATTTCTTTGTTGGTACACAAATCCTAAATACTGTGTGTGGTTGAGGGGAGGTCGCTACAAAGAGAGCTTGAGCTGGAAGATACAGTAAAGAGCACCTAGGGCACTGATACACCACTAAACAAAATCAATTTGCAGGATATTGTGTTTATTAACATTGGCACAAAATCTGTTCTGGCAGATTAGTTTACAAAAGCAGTAATTGCAACAGGCCTGTCATGACTGGCACATCAATCAGTGTCACTGGTCTCAAAGAAACTCAATTAACACCTAGGCGGTCAGTGCTCAGTATCATACCAAATTGAAAAACACACATTTCACTCTGTCGTCCAAGATAGCGGTTTTCTCGGCAAAGCAAAGCGTTTGCCTTGAGTATGCGGGTGTGAATTATTTTACTGCTGCTCTCACAGGGGGCAGGTGGCACCTCCGTCAGCTGCGCTCGTTACTTCTGCTTACATGAAAACAAAATACACCAAACGCTTTGTTTGTTATTTTAACAATGTAAAAGTGTCCCAAAAGAAAACCCACCTCTCAACTCGAAACAACTAGTTTGTTTCTGTACCTAAAAAAAACTACCGCAAGCCTCTAACTCAGCACATGACCCTGATGCTAAATCGGCCGGCTAGACTCGCCCCTACAGCTGAGGAGTCGGCTCAGGGCTCCGCCAGTGCACGGTGGGCGGCTCGCCCGGGCTCGTCTTCCCGGCACAGGGCCCAAGGCCCGAGGAATACGAGCGCGGACGGGTGTCTCCCGGTCTGTGCGGCCAGTCTGTATCTCTGAATCGACAGCGAGTCCCAGCTGTCAACAAACTCAAGGCCCCAACAGCAGACGGGCATCTTGTAACTCACAACCTCGCCACCCACCTCCCTCGCCCAGGAAAGTACCGACAGAACGTACAAAAAGGCGGCGTATCTTATATTTCTGCAGCAATTTAAAATCCTGAAACATGACGAGTCGCAGGCCATCCACTTACCCTCCAGCGTCTCGCACTGCACCAGGTTCAAATAGTCGCCCTGTGACAGGATCCCAGCCTTAAAGCCGCGCACCAGTCCTTCCAGGTAGCCATTATCCACGTTAAAGTACAGCTCCGGAAAGCTGGACATTGTTGCCTGCTGTTCTTTGTTAGAATAAATGATATAGTCGGATGAGAAAAAACACCTCCAGCTCCAGCGCTCAGAGTCCCGGCTGTGGCAGCAGGAAGTGAAGGCACGTGACTTGTCCGATCATGTGATGGGCCGCCTGCTGCAGATGACGTCAGTGTGAGTATAAATACAGTATCCAGCGGGTTGGGATATTCTACAGTATCTAGTTTGAGCTCATTTGTGGTATCTTTTAATTTCTATGTGTTTTATATCTGCTGTTGATATTTTATGTTCGTTAGCACCTATCTACGTAGATTAGACATGCTTAATGTTTAATAACTAGTATCAACTGTAGCCGGGCAGATACACTGTGCTATGTAACTTTTTTAAATTGAAGGTTATGTTTCTAAAAATAAAATGTCTTTAAATGTTATTAAAATGTCTGAAGACAATAGAAAGCGTTTGAAATAGAGCAGAGCAATGTGAGACACAATCCTGATTGTAGGCACTTTAGTTCTTTAATAATGTTATGTCATCAATATAAGATTACTTGAAAGTGGTGGGTATCAGAAATGACCTTTCACATTAATGCCAGTGTTTTACTAAACACCTGCAAAGATCAGCAGATTCTTTATAATTATATCATCTGCTTATAATTATTATAGTAGTTCAGGTAGGTAGCTGCGCCAGCATGCGTAGGCTGCAAAGGAACAAGTAATAGGTTTATTCCATGCTGAAAAGAGAAGAAAGAAAACACAATGTTTCGGCCGTGAAGCGTTCTTCAGGTGGCTTCAGGTGGCCTTCTTAACACCTGAAGAAGGCTCCACGGCCGAAACGTTGTGTTTTCTTTCTTCTCTTTTCAGCATGGAATAAACCTGTTACTTGTTCCCTTATAATTATTATGCCAACAAATGTGAGATATTAGTGGGTTCTCAGGATGTTAAAGAGAACTTAGCTTAGCTCTAGATACAGTGAAAAGTAGAGTAAAAACACTGGGGCTAGTAGCATGGAGGAACATTTAAACAGAGGTGCACAGCAGCGATGCTCTCCCTGCAAAGGCTCAAACTCTGACAACAGACACAGCAGAGCTGAGTTTTAAAGTCTCTTCAAGGGGATGGCAAAGCAGGATGTGAAGAGTACCTCCTTTCAGGAACAGGACTGTAAACTCCCATTCTCTCGAGTAAAGTCTTTATTTCTGCAGAACAGCACCACTTGAGCTGTTTGTACACGTTTGCATCCTGGGGCTGTCCCTCCAAGGAAAGGGCTGCAATTCCACAGATTCGCCACTAGGGCTTCCATGCAGTGTAACTACACGTGGGTAGCATAGGAACAAGTAATAGGCTTATTCCATGCTTAAAAGAGAAGAAAGAAAACACAACGTTGAGCTCACCTGAGGCTCCACGGCCAAAACGTTGTGTTTTCTTTCTTCTCTTTTCAACATAGAATAAACCTATTACTTGTTCCTTTGTAAATACATACTACACTCCAGGTAATAACCGGTTAGTTAAAATATACAGTATGATATATTATTGGTGATAGTATCATGTGATTAGTATAGAACGGCTGTGAATAGAGTGAGGGGTTTCAATTACTTTTGTACTTTTTGTACTGTGCTATAAGACTGTGCTAAAAATCTGCAATGAAGCCCCCTGCATGCACTGTGAGTGTCATTGTACTTGTGTTCTTGTGTATGGGACTGCCTAGCCTAGTGTACCCATATAACCTCCCCAGCCCTCACTTTCTCACTTTCCCTTCCACACATCCCTTGCTCACACCACTGCAATTAATCAAAAACATCTTTTATTGCAGATTTGTTTTAACTACAGCTGGAATATTTCTCTTAAAAGTATCATCAGAAAAAGCAAAAAACATCCTGTCATTTACTTGCTTTGAAAAATGTTACAAATTACTGTGACATTTTTTTCAGTCTGGTGTTCTGTGAAGCGGTAATTTCCTTTATACAAAACAACCACAGTAATATTGAGATGTGGCCTCTTTCAGAGGTATATCAGTACTCATCACTTGCAATATTCCCTGATTTCTGCCTTCTCTAAGCAGCACATTAGCAAAATAATTTAATATTACCTTTATTCAGATAAAATGGGTTTTTAATCACAGGCTGTTTAAAATGTTCCATTACTTCAAATGAGCAGTAAATTGAACATGCAGGTGGCTTATTTTTACATTTAGGATCACACACTACCTCTGCTGGCTGCTGTTTTTCTTTGTTAATTTTGCCACTATAAAGAAAGCTATTCTGGGAATTTTCTATGGCTTATTTTGAACAGGTTGTCTTTTTCTAAAGGCCCTTGTGTATAACAGGCTCTGTGTGGCTCTGTGGCTAAGGATCTGCACCTGTTGCTGGAAGATTGCTGGTTCAGATCCTATGGCTGGCAGAGGAATCTGACTCTGTTGGGCCCCTGAACAAGGCCCTGAACCCCAGCTGCTCCAGGGGTGCTGTACAATGGTTGACACTGTGCTCTGACCCCCAGCTTCTCTACCTGTCTGTGTGTCTCATGGAGAGCAAGTTGGGGTATGCAAAAAGATGAATTCCTAATGCAAGAAATTGTATATGGCTAATAAAGTGATCTCTTAAATATGAGGTCTTTATTATAACATGCACTCCTACTTCAATGATGGCTTCTTTCCAGAAACACAATGTTATACATCAATGTTATGCACCAGATATGACCTTTATTACATAATCAATAATAAAAATGAACAATTTTATAAAATACATTTAAATGGTATAATAAAAACATTTCAGTATCTTTACATGATAACAAATTATAAGTAAAATAACACATAGGATATATAACATTTCCTTAGTAATAAAAAGTTAAATATTTGATTACATAAAAAAAAAAGAAAAGGGGCCTTGCGGTGGCTCTGTGGCTCAGGATCTGCACCTGTGGCTGGAAGGTTCGTATCCCGCGGCCGGCAGAGGAATCCTACTCAGTTGGGCCCCTGAGCAAGGCCCTTAACCCCAACTGCTCCAGGGGTGCTGTATAAATGACCCTGCGCTCTGACCCCCAGCTTCTCTCCCTGGCTGTGTGTTTCATGGAGAGCAAGTTGGGGTATGCGAAAAGACAAATTCCTAATACAAGAAAATGTATATGGCTAAAAAAGTGATCTCATCTTATCGTATCCTCTTACATTGGTTCAGATACAAAGGACCAGATCATGATACTCCAGAACAATCTCTGAAAACATACACCCGGTGAAAGTATATTCTGCCTGACAGTGTATTCCCTGTGAAAGCACACAGCACCATACCAAAGCAACATTTTCAGTTCCTTTGCACCTTGTTCCTAAGGCAGTTTGTTCTGGTGTAGTCGGACTATGGGGAGACTTCCAGAATGTCCCATTTGTTTCACAAGTCGAATTGAAATGCTTGAGGGCTGTTCTAAGTCAGGTGTTTAAAGAGGATATTACAATAAACGAGTTAATGTAATCCTACACTGATCTACAACTGCTCAAATGCAATTAGCACATCAGGACAACTGGTGCTGACAAAGTCAAAACCAGGCAGCATTTGTTTACACAAAAGGTTGTGGGATTTTGGCACAAACAATCAACCATGTTGATATAATACTGTAGATACTTTGATTACTATGAGTTGATTCAGATCCTCAGATCAATTAGCTATTGAAACACCAAATATGCAAGATGAGCTGAATGGCACCTCTCATTTTCAACCTTCTGTTCTTACGTAAGCAGTGTCTGAGGAACACAGAACTACAAAAGAAGAGCTGAAATATTTTCCTCCAGATGAAAGAGAAGCTGACAAACACTGACCGTTAAAAATAAACTAGCAATAAAATTTAATTTAAATGGGAAACACATATGATATTTGTTTTCTACATATGAAGTGACATGAGAAATATACACAACAGCAACAGAAATGAGAACGTGTATCTGCATAATAAATCTTAACATCTGAACTGGGAAGCAATACAAGGAAACACATATTAAACTTTCAAAAAGAAGGTATACATGGAGAATGTCTTTATTTGTTTTTCATACGTTCCTCCTGCTATTTTACACAATGGAAATAAGATGTTAACCATGAATGTAGCTCCCACTCAAAAGACAATCTAACAAGAAATTCCTTCTGTAATAGGTCCTTCATAGGCTGACCGATCTAATCAAGGCTTCAGCAGAAAAGCAATTATTCAGTCAGATTGTTGTTTGTATGGCAGGATCTAAGAACTGAGTCATCAAGTCTTAAAAGCTCAGTCCCATCCTTTTTCAGTTGAAGCTCTTTTTAACTTTTAAAATTGAATTAGGTAGTAAAGGACATATGATCTTCTGGTGAAAAATACATGGAAAAAATTAAAAGAAATGTTAACTGGGCTGCTAAATCTGTCAGTGCCCAGGTTTGTTCACATGTATCTGAGCACAGCGCAGATCCATTCAAGGGAATACTGCTTTTAAAAAAATTGTTATTCTGATTGTAATGTTTCATGTAAGAATATATGGGGTTGTGTTCTTTTAAGGGAAATTAGGAAAATTGGTAAAATGCGCAATAAGATTACCTTTACTTTATTACCAAAACAGAGTAAGTCCTTGTACATGTTTAATACTCACCTTTTTGGTGAGATCTGAAGGGTGTGTATTAGTTATTAGCTATTTAATGCTGACAAGAAGTACCAGGTGCTTATTCAGTTATTACATTATATGGGGTGTCCGTGGTGTGTTAAGTACTAACGTGTTATAACTGACACAAGCCTGACAGGTTTCTCCTTTTCTAATGTTTTTCTGGGAAGTCTTTGACACAGTAAGGAGGAGTGAAGTCCTGTCTCTTTGGAGAAGGGTATCACTGCATAGAAAATCTGTTTCCATTGTGACCCAGAAGGTTTGGAGGATGGAGCAGTGCTCTGTCCCACAAGTAGGACACTACCACAAGCACTCTGACACAGAGTGAAGCTGACACAGAGTGGACAGAGTGGGAAGTAAGCACAAAGGGCAGAGAGCTGTACAAAGACTGAAGAGACACTTCTGTGTTGTCTTTGCTTGCCTCTGTCACCAAGAGAAAACAGCACTGCCACATCTGCCTTAAGGCCTGCAGCTCTTTGAAATCAACCTGACTCTTCCTGATCTCACTTTTACTGTGTTATTGAGTTTTAGCTATATGTATTATTAGAATGAAATTGTAAATGATGCCAGCAGGCGAAGGTCTATCTAAAGAGGCTTGGGAATGAAAAGCAAGTCACTGGCACAGACATGGGGATTGTGAATTGTTTATGGTTTTGAAGAAGCAGTTACTGCCATGTGACAGCACCATGACCCAGAGCAAAGCAACAAACAACCTCATATTAAAGATGGATTCTGACAGAAAAAACATTGAGGAATAACTGCACAAGAAAAGCCTCTAGCACTGCCTTACTGCTTTACTTCAAAAGAAAATTACAGAGCATGGAATCACAGTCCCTTTGCTAACCTTAAAATACCTACAATGCAACAATGGGACCATTCTCTAAATCATTTTCTCTATTTACCTTGAAGAGGCTGAGTTGCAACTCACAAGATGAAAGCTGAAACATTTTTTTAAATTAAACTTTTCATGTAAAACAAATGTATATTATTCCGTCTGGGTGTCATAATCATTTCTTGAATCGATCTTAACACTCTCTAATCAGGTAGGAAATCTGTCCTCTTCACAATTTGGGTTTTATAACTGAACTTTTTTTTATAAAAAAGGGAGTAAGGAAAGGAACTTCATTAAATGACTGTCTTAAGCATTGATGAAGGCAAGCTTATAATACATCCATTCATTATCAGAAATGTCAGGATTATATCCTGTAAATTATCACAGGATTTCTGGAAATCCTGACACACCATCACATTGCCCTTGTAGGTCACCATATGCACCTCGTACACAGATTTATGGTAGAAGCCGTACTACTACAAAGTGCATAACAAGATTAAACATAATTTAATCAAAATGTTCTTTATGGATATTGAGTTGTTTGTGCAGTTTTGGCTTTATTATTTTTCTAAGCAATTTTCTGACCTTTCTCTTGATTAGAGAACATAAACAGGTGAACGCAGTGTCTCTCTGGGGAGAAGACATGTAAGCTGTGGTTGTATGTGAATGGATAAGCCAATATAGAAGAAAATTGAAACCACACCTCCCACCCACTGGTCCTGATCATGTGTCCATTGCCTTCCACTTCTGCAGACCCGTATAAAGCAGAACCCAAGGGTCACTGTGTCAGAAGAATCCCACTCGGTCAAGGCAGTGGGGCTGCAGGTTTGGTAAGTTGAAATTTTTGTCTTGTGGGATGTGCACGCTGTGAGAAATGCACGCTGTGGGATATGCATGCAGTGGGATGTGCACTCTGTGGGATATCGCTTACTCCATGCGATCTAGGATCAATTTTGAATCCTCCTGTTAAACATACTTGATTTCTAAAAGGCACCCGTGTGCCCACCACCATAACACATATACTGCAGAGGCAACAGGTGAGTCTCTGTGTGCCTGAACGTTTAAATATTTCTTAAAATATCTGATAATCCTTTCAATCAGATATTTTCAATTTTTTCACTGAGAGAAGCTGTCTTGATACTGTTTATTCAAGCTTGTTGGCTATTTTTCCATCGGATTAGTTTAGATTGTGATGTTTAAAATCTCAGTTTGGGAATGAAGTTATTTAGAGCAATTTGTGTGTGAATTTTATAACTTTAATTCACATGCTATCAATTCTAATACCATTCTCAAACCTTTTTTGAAATACTTTGGAGAGTTCCAAAGAAGTTGAAGCCAAAGACCGTAAAAGAAAGACGTACTATTCTTGTCCTGTTAGATCCTGTTTATGACGTGTGCACTATATATACCCAATGTCTTTAAATTATTGTAAGGGAATTATATAAATATAGATTTAATAACCATGGAAAACCTGCTAATATTACATATTGTTTGGTTGTACTTAAAAGCATAAGGTAACATACTGATTTTTCCTTTCAAATTGTGCAGCATACAACTTTAGCACTTTGACATCCATATTTGCTGTATATCAAAATCTATCTGGAAAATGATAAAGTGATTAAAAATAAAACTAAGTATGCCAAAATGCTTTAAAAACATTCAAACACTGTTTTGAGTTTGGAACTTTATTCTTATTTTGTGTACACTTTAGAAGAAAATAGTGCACCAATAGTGTATTTCACCACCGACCAGTGAAACCAGCAGTTTGAGATGAAACACTGACCTTGTCCAGGAATCATTCTGTTGCACTTCTTATCAGCAGCAACACCAACACAGACCTGCAGGAACAGGCTGGGTCCTCTTTCTGTTTTCAGTGCTGAAGAACGTTTCCTCAGTTCTCCTATTGCAGAGTTGGCATTAATTCCAAAACTGCGAGCAGAAAGACAGTTTTAGACAAGCTGTCATTTTCATATTATTCAATATCCGCTGTACTGGGTTCAATTTAAACACTTCATCAGATCAGGTGAAATTAAGTTAACAGCAAAACTAGATATTAATAAATATACTTGACATGTCATCTTGTTTTCTGTGTTGGAGTACACACAACCTTCCCATCATCCTTTGGTAGAGGGATTTAACAGGCAGCTTCCCATTGGCACAGTGGGAATTCTGAGGGACACTGGAATTTAAACATTAATAAGTCATCTATTCATATGCAATGTAACTTACAATGAAATGTGGAATATTAAGCATTGTTTGATTTATGCTGTGTCTAGGACAGACTGGCATCCCATCTAGGGTGTATCCCACCTTGTACCCATTGCTTGCTGGGACAGGCTCTGGCTCCCCTGTGACCCTGAAGTGATGAAGTGGTTAGAAAATGGATGGGTGAATTTGAAATATGTTTAAGTTCTCATGCAATATTACTGAACATAAAAAAAACATCATATAGTTTTTTATAAAGGCTACAATTAAACTTAATGACTTCCGCTTTCAAGATGCCTAAGGTTCCCAATAAGAAGGCCTGTCCTCCTTGCAGACTGGTGTGGGTTAGTCCATCACTGAAAGCCTGCGTGAGACTGGAGCTGCTTTCTGTTCTGAGGAGTCACAGCACCACCATGTGGAGCTCACTGCTGCTGTGCTGGTGGGTCCTTCTGGGGATCCAGGTGGCTGCAGGGACTGCCCAGGGTGGTGCCCGTGTGGAGGAGCACAGTGCCTCTGCCAGTGGAACAGGGAGGCATGCCTGGCCCAGCCTTCCCAGACCAGCAAGGGCGTTGTCTCTGACAGGTCAGTCCTCCCCCCCAGACAGCCTGGCCACAACAACGAATAAGCACAGCCTGCCACTCTCATCGCGCTGGTGTGGTTACATGGAGCAGTGGCAGTCTGGGGTCGTACTGTGGTGCTTGTGAATTATTTAATTCTGGGGAAAACTAACTGCGTGATGCTTTCTTATGTGACAATGAAATTAAACATCTTGCATGGTTCGAATGTAAACTGCTCCAAACTGAACTATAAAACCCAACCTATCGCTGTATTCTCTAAATATGTTCTGGCATCTTTATGTTTCCTGATAATCCCAGAATTTACAAAGCCAAGGGTTTTGTTTTTTGTTTTTTTGTGAATGATTTTAGTCACATCTGTTAAATCCTATGTTGTGACTTTCTTGTTCACAAGACACTTTGTACAGAGTCACTTGATCTATAAAGAATACAGAGATCTCTATATAGGCTATTTATTAATAGTCATCATTACACGCATTCTTGATACTTGTATCTAAGTGTAGTAATTGGAAGTTGAACATTTTATCCACAATCAAGTTTCTTCTTGAAAAAATAAGCAATAGATAAACATTAGTTAATTGACACTAAAAGACTCAAACTTTTCTGATATCTGAGCTTTGAAATTAGATTTTTTTATGAGAGAAGTTTCTGGTAGAGCTAATTATACATGCATAAACTCTGTGTGGTCCCTGCCTATACTGCACAATACTGCAGAGTGCCTCTGGATTACGCTGTGGAGATACTGTAATTACAAATCATAAAGAGATTCTACGTTTCACTTCTACGTTTTCGCAGATTTGTATATTTTGGGCTTTTCACACAATAATAGGCACATTCTGGAACTTCCAAGTGGCATTGCTACTGTATTTCCCTGGGGTAGTACAATGATCTCCTGCAATGCTGTACAACACATACAGTAAATATCAGGGTCATAGTATTCTTTTCCTATTTATTAATATGCAGTATAGCAGTGCCTGAACTATGGTGTCATTTCCAGGTGATAGGTCCCTCTCCAAGATGGACCCTGAGCGTCTGTCCACAGAATCTGAGGAGGCGATGTTAGTGGAGAACATTGGGCTGTTTGATGAGGAGGTGAGGCCCTGACAGCACCCTACTGTCACTGGCAACTCCTGCATACAGTTGGGAATGTTTTATGCCTGAAGCAAATTAATGTTCGCATATTTATAAAACTGGCCAGCAAGGATGCAAGGAAAATAGGGCTCATGTCACACATACCCAGGATCCCGTGTTTGATTCTGGCCTTTAGTGTCTGTCCGTGTGGAGTTTGCATGCTCTCTCCGTGATCAGGTAGGAAACAGGTGAGGTCTGATGGCTGTTCTCACCTGTCCCTTCCGCCTCAGCCTCGCAATGGACTGGTGTCCCATGCCAGTGAAGAGCAGTCATGGGCTTTCAAGCCCATCTCGCTCCCTGACACCTGTAATAGACTCCAGCCTGATGTGACCCTCATCAGGAAAAGCAGTTTTCTGACAACAGAGGGATGAATAGACATTAAACCTTGGGCCCCTGCCCCCAGGTGATGAACTCACCTCGGGCAGGTAAACCTCACACCTGGAAACTGGGATGGCAGGTTCAATCAACAATATTTAATATATATAATTACCTCCTTCTTATAATATGTACATATTATATATGATACATGATATATTATATTAGAACAAGTAATAGGTTTATTCCATGCTGAAAAGAGAAGAAGGCTCCATGGCCTAAATGTTGTTTTCTTTCTTCTCTTTTCAGCATGGAATAAACCTATTACTTTTTCCTTTGCAGCCTACGCATGCTGATGCAGCTACCCACCTGATATATTATATTACATATTTATATTATATATTATATAATATAATATGTGCATATGTTTTTGGATGGTTCCTTTTCCTAATGACAGCAATTTGAATAATCCATGTTATTCCTAACTGTTTTATACATTAAGGGTTAAAGGTAAGGAGGAGCTAGGCAGGTGTAAGGCACTATACACCCTGTGCAAGAAGCCAGTTGATCTCAGGCCGCACAGAGACACAGATACATGCACACCTAGGACTGGTTTTCCGAAAAGCAAAACAAATATTTCCTCGGACTGTGGGAGGAGATCAGAGCACCTGATGCACCATGCAAACACAGGGGGAACATACAGACTCCACACAGATAGTACCTCAGGATTTGAATTGAACCCAGGTCCAGAGTGCTGTGAGGCAGAAAAGCTAACTACTATTCAACCAGACCACCGTATTCTAACCATCTAATAATAATCCAAAGCTAAAGTGTCAGACTGGGCAGTGCACTGTGGCAGAATGGCCTGAATGAACACTACTCGTTTTGTGCCTGTGAGTGAAGAGCACCTCTCCGCAGCTGCGCAGTTCTGAGTTTCGAATTTCCTGTGACGCCCTGTCTCTCCTCTGGCCAGGCCGTGTCCGAAGCTGTGGAGCTGCAGAGCCGCGCGGTGCGCTCTCCACGCCGCTGTGTCCGACACCAGGAGTCCTGCCTGGGCCACCAGCTGCCCTGCTGTGACCCCTGCGACACCTGCTACTGCCGGTTCTTCAACGCCATCTGCTACTGCCGCCGGGTCAGCAAGGCCTGCCCGCACGGGCGCCACCAGTGACCGCACCCGCCTCTGTACATATCCCAGCCACCTCGGGGCAACAGCAGGATAACATGTATATCTTTAGACTTCTGTAGAAATGTTATGACTATAATTAGAATTATATTTTGTTTCAGATTGAATTTGATTCATAATAAAGGAGATGCAAAATGACCAATCTCACTTTCTGTCTTGACTGTCCTATAAGCTCAGTCCTTCACAAACCCCAGCCTACCTGACCTTACTGCACCTGTCAGTACAGGATCACCACTGTGCAGCTCGGGCGATACATTCTCAACCCAGAATTCACCTGCTATGCCCAGTCTTAAACCCCTGAGCAGGATGGCAGGTTTCCCCTCAGGAACAGCTGGAAGCCTGTGCTTGTGAAACACAGATGAGTGCAGGGACAGCTTGCTCTCCAGAGCTAACAGCTCATACTCTCACTCTCAGGGACAGTTACGAGACACCAGTCCTTCCAGAGCGCCTAGAGACCACCAATCACAGGCATGAACAAACCGTGCAGACATGTATACTGAAGGATACATGGTCCAGAACTGAACATGGCATCTGAGAGATGTACAGTATGGAAATACTTTATCCCTTCACGGCTCATTCACTCGGTGCGGCTGCAGCCTGAGAACTTGTTTTCTGCATTAGAAACCTAAAAGAATGAAAGTGACCTTAAATTTAGTTTTCCTATATTTCCCATAAAGAAAATTCAGACTCTGAATGTTGTTCCCCCTAAAATGAAAGGCTCTGGAGGGCAGAAAAGTTCTTCACTGAACAAACACAGAGATAGCCTGGGAAGGCCAGCAGTCTGTTTGCAACTATAAATTGAGGAGAATTTCAGAGAATTTTTCCAACCTATCTCCTATCAGTTTTCAGCATGCAGGCGTTTCACATGAGAACAAGGTCACAGTAAACTGGCCTCCAACAAAGCAGCTTTCACTGCAGAAGTCCATAGCCCTGGGCGTCTGCAGTGAAATGAGCAGCTGAATCTTCAACACAGTACAAATGACCACAGAAAAAAAATATTTCATAATGATTCCCTTTCAACTGCATTTTAAAAGGAGTCCCTGTTCTTCCTAATTTTATTGTCAGGAGTTTATGAGTGGTGACAGAGAGATGTCTTCAGAAGATTTGTTCTGCTGTGATTTAAACGCTGAATTACATAAGCTTGGCCCTGTACATTTCACAGTAACTGGGTGTTTTCTGTACAGGCGCACATTGACTTTCCTCATTGACAGTTCATCCCCCTTTGAAACCATCAGGTCTGGAAGCCCACTGTGAAGAGGATCCAGTGATTTTACAGTGTATTTTTATCCAGACTCCTTTTTCTTTGTGAAAACAATGTATTTGAAAAAAACATTTCATATTTTAAACTACATACTGTATTTGCTACGTTTTCATCTTGAATGATTGCAGCAGAGCTTGAGGGGTGTCCTGGGGGAGGAGAACTGTGAAACTGAGTACTGAGAGCCCTGTTCCGGAGCTGCGGCTCTGACAGCTGTGCTCACAAACAGACACCTGCAGCCTCCCAGCAGTCAGGGCTCCTCACAGTGTTGAACTGCAGGGTTTTATTTGAAACACAGTAAGCTGTCACCACCCCAGCAGCACAAAACTCAGATACATCAACCGACCACTTAAGAACCTGGGATCTGCAGGCTTCACTACTGTGCTGAGTGTATTCTAATGTGTCTTGAGACAGATGTTAAAACCCTGATCCTAATTTTGGGCCCACAAGAGACCTGCCACTGTTTATAGTGAAGACAGCACTCTGTGGCACCCAGTGCAATGACAGCAAAGCTTTCTGGCGCTCCTTGTTCTTTGCCTACAGAACCCCACAACACAGGCCCACAGCTCAGGGGTCCCGGTCACATAGTGGCTACAGAGCAGTCTCCCCTGCGTGGAAATTAAAGTGTCTTATGTACCAGGCATCCTTCTTCTCGGCAGTGTACAGAAGACAGATTTATTTACGTATTTATTAGTAAATAAGTTTACTTACTATACTTACTGTACTATAATTTTACTTATTTATTTATTAGGGAAAATAAATGTTCATTTTTCAAATAAATACAAGTCATAAACCTGACCCATAATGTATTTTCATTTTATTTAACATTTTGGCATATCCAGCTAGAAATTAAATTCAGTATCTACATATGTATTCGGGGAACATCAAGGGGAAATGTGACTCTTTCCAAGGCCTCTGGGGCAATACTGTGTGAAAATGTTACCTGAATCCTTGCAACACCAAGTTCTTCAAACACAGCTGATAAGATAAGCTCATTTCCTTGCCTGATCAGTGTATATAAAACCCTGCGCTGGTCCACTGGTCACAACAAACTGGAAACATGGCTTTCTTGTGGATCCTCTCCTGCCTGGCCTTCCTCGGCGCTGCCTATGGTAAGAGATGGTATTACTGTGATGCTGCTTCTCCTCGGACACCAGCACTGCTGGTCAGAGCTCGATAGTCTCCAGGGTCTCCCACTGAGAGAGCTGCTCTGCTGGGGTGGGCTTCCAGTCGAGAGGGCCGAGTTGCCAAGATGAACTATTCAGTATAATGACACTAATTTTAAAAATGATAGCTGAAGGATGTTGGTTATTGTAAAGAAAGATCAGTTATGACCAGATTACAGATTCTCTGGTTTCTCGTCTATTATGGAACTACAGTATGTGCTGTAATCTAGAAATAAAATGGTGAACATGCTTCATGCTGCTCCTTCCTTGTAATGTCTGTGCCTTGTCCGCTCGCGCCCCAGGCTGCGGGACCCCAGCCATCCAGCCAGTCGTGAGCGGCTACTCCAGGATCGTCAACGGCGAGGAGGCCATCCCCGGCTCCTGGCCCTGGCAGGTGTCTCTGCAGGCAAGAGCTCTTCCACTCCTCCTTCCTGCACTTTTCTCATGATCTGCAGCCAGAATGTTGTTTCTGTATTGAATTTCTTCTAAGAATGAGAGTTTTAGAATGGAAAAAGTGAAAGTTTAGTCCTTTTTTTTAATTTCACAGTATGCATTAAAGCAAAACTAAGTAAATATAAATGGGTGTTTTAGGACTCCACTGGCTTCCACTTTTGCGGTGGCTCTCTGATCAGCCAGGACTGGGTAGTGACAGCAGCCCACTGCGGAGTGAGGTGAGACCGGCCAGACCAGTTCACACCCTGGGCCCTAGGTCCTGGGTCAGTGCAGCATGTCTCCAGTCTGAGCACACAGGCTGGGAAGCCCTGACCACAGCTCCATTCTTCTACCAAGAAACACACTTGATTGAGGTCTGTTTTCAAATGCTTCATACCTGTGTCAGTTGGTAGACTATTAAAACCCCTCTTTTTCTACAGTACCTATCCAGTACGGTACAGTGTTGGTCCTATCTGTTCATTTTGAATACAATAAAGTACACAACAGAGTATGTCAGGCCCTGTGCCTTGTGTTGACATGGTACTTTTGCATAGATCACCACACCTCACCCCCTTCCATCAGCATTGATTCCAGACCCAATAACCCCTGTGATCTGTGAATAACTGTGTGAACCCCTGTGATCATGACAGCAGAAACTCTCTGTGATTAATCCATGTGTCTGCTACAGGACCTCCCACCTCGTCGTCCTGGGGGAGCACGATCGCGCATCACCTGCTGAGGATATCCAGGTCATCAGAGTTGGCCAGGTGAGCAGAGCTGACGCATTGGGCTGACCTGGAAGGGCCATTCACTGACCACGGCTCTGTCAAGACAGCTCTTACTCTAACCAGCAGAGCACATGTAGCCCATCTTGCTAATTAGACTGCTGGTACTGGAGGATATGGATTCAAGGATCTTGTATTGTCCTTTCTAGACAGATTCCAGGGGACCTGCTTCAACAGGCAGCTGGTGCCTGGTTCCAATAACTCTCTATATATGAAAATGATACTTGATTTCAGACCCAAGCTGTCTTCCTCTGAGATTTCTCTTGAATCACATCCTGGTTTCACTCTGGGTTGACTTATCAGTGCCTGACAGAGTTTCAAGTCTGTGTACCCATACGCCTTAGTCACTCTGGACAAGCCTCTAGAAATCCAGTTAAATATAATTTTATGTATATGAATATGTCATTAATGGGAAGAAAGTGATTTTTATTACAAGATTTTGCATGCTAATTATTTTTTAATTGTGAGATTTTGAATGATGAATGCTGCACAAAGGAATGAATAAGAATGATGAATGGAAGCTGTGCCAGTTTGTGCCATTGACACTCTGAATGACGAGCTTCAGCACTTAAAAAAGGCAACTCAGAATGTGTGACCCCAGTTACCCAGCTCTGGGTCTGCTCCTTTGTCTGTCCCAGGTGTTCAAGAACCCCAAGTACAACCCCTTTACCATCAACAACGACATCACTCTGATCAGGCTGGCTACCTCTGCCAGGCTGGGTGTCCGTGTGTCTCCCGTGTGTGTGAGTGAGGCCTCAGACGACTTCCCAGGGGGCATGATGTGTGTGACCACTGGCTGGGGCCTGACGAAGCACAATGGTAACATCATCGGCCTCGACCTCCAGACCCCAGCACACCTCAGCCCTCCCCCAGACCTGAGCGTATCTGTAATCACTGTATTGCCAAGGACCCCTGACCCTGCTACAGGCAAAAACTCTGTGACCTGTACAGTACTTTTCAACAAGCAGAGCAGGACAGTGCAGGGTTAGGACACTGCATGGAGTTATTGCTCTTTCTAATATTACCAGGGGGTTATTTTCTGCTCGGTTCTCAGTAATTAAAGAAGGTTTTAACAAAACACTATACACTAAAATACAAAAATTTGCAGTCGGTCTGCATCACAGTGATGCAGTGTGCAACTGGAGCAGCTTCTCCCTGCACTAACCACTCCACTTCTCGTTCCAGCTGCGGACACCCCTGCCCTGTTGCAGCAGGCCTCCCTGCCCCTCCTGACCAACACGCAGTGCAAGCAGTACTGGGGCACCAAGATCACCGACCTCATGATCTGCGCTGGGGCTGATGGAGCCTCCTCCTGCATGGTAACTGTCCCCATCTCCAGCTGCAGCCCTCATCTCTCATACAGCCCACAGCACAGCTCCATAGCCTCCCACAATACTGGACTTCTACATTATTAATGGTCACTTTCTGAACCTGCATGGTGGTCTACTGGCCTGGTTCTACTACATTATTTCAGTAATGATATTCTGCCTTGGATTCACAGTAAAGATCTTAAAGTTAGTTGTTAATGCAATGGCTGTAGTAATAAAAAGAAATCTTAGCAAAGAAAAAACTCCTGCATGTCACTGGGAGGATGTTTGCTAGCTGAGTTTTAGTGTGTGGCATCAGTCCCTGACTCTGTGTATCTGTTCCAGGGTGACTCCGGTGGCCCCCTGGTCTGTCAGAAAGATGGGGCCTGGACCCTGGTGGGTATTGTGTCCTGGGGCAGTGGAACCTGCTCCCCCTCCATGCCCGGAGTCTACGCCCGCGTCTCCAAGCTCAGATCCTTCATTGACCAGACTTTGGCTGCCAACTAGAACAGAGACAGCTGTGTTCAGTTTTCTTACTCCTCAATAAAGAGCTTTTAGTGCAAATATTCCTGTCTGGTGTCATCATTACCTGGAACTGTGGTCTACTCACAAATGCCCCTTATATAAACAGTTCTGAAAAACGGTTTTCAGCCCAAGGCAATTTATGGATTGTTGGTACATTTATGCTTCTTTTAATCAGTAAACTCTGCTTAGTTTACATACTGTAGGCATTCTTTAGGAGGGAATTATTTAAAATATTTTTGATTTGTTTAATTTATGGTACAAGGTGCCTGTGCTTGTATTTTCAAGTGCATAATGATCGAAATGGCCTCTTCTCACTATCATTATTTTAAAAAACACTTCAGTTGTCACTACAGGTTTCTGAACTTTTCTCAGGATAAATGTGACAGTTTTTTTCATCTGACCTTTCTGATTCCTTTCACAGTTTTCTCAGCCCTGGTCAGTTTCACTGGCCCTGTAACCCTCAGCTGTCACATGGCTGTTCTCTCCCCTTGGGGGTCAGGAGTCAGTGGGGGGAGTCATACTGATGCTAAAAGACTCTACCATCCCTACCCCTGTGAAACTGAGTTACTGTATGAAAGGGTGGCAAAAACTACTGTGTTTGAGCAAAGACAGCACAAGGTTCCTCAGATATTACAGTACCTGTAGCAAAATCCTTTTAGTTGGTGAAGATGATGTTATAAACCACCTGTAAAAATGTGAAATGTGTTAGTTTACAGAAGTTGACCACACACACATTCTTAACCGATGAGTGTATCCTTAGCTTCCGAGCGGAATAGGCTCCAAGGGGTGGGAAAGACACTTTCGTTATTCAATTATTGGCATGTTCTTTAGCAGAAGCCTTATAATAATAATAAACTTTATTTTATATAGTGCCTTTAACGTGGCCTCTCAAAGCACTTTACAGAATGACAACAACAACACAACAACAATAACATTTTAAAATACACAAGATAAACACAATGAGAATACACAGAGGAGAGAGTAGAGTAGGGGGTACTAAATACAGTAGGAGCAGAGGGGTAAAGAACAGAACCAGTTAAGTAAAGGCTCTTCTAAAGAAGAAGGTTTTGAGTCTGGATTGGAAGGAGTTCAAAGAAGGTGACTCTCTGATATCCCTGGGGAAAGAGTTCCAAATCTTGGGGGCACAGCAGGAGAAGCCCTGTCACCCCTTGAGTGTAGACGGGCTTGGGGGACAGATAGGAGACCAGAATCAGAGGAGCAAAGGTTGTGAGGTGGGGAGTAGGGCAATAATAGCTCACACAGGTACTGAAGTGCCAAGCCATGCAAAGCCTGAGGAGCCTTTATCTAAGAGACTCCTGGTATTACAGTGCCACAAGTCACAGCATCAGTGATTTCATTGCTGGCAGTGTTTCTGTCATTGATGATGCCAGCAGGAAAAGGAATTTTGAATGAACTTGAAATCTAATTCTATATACAGTATGCACATGTGGTGCTGTTTTGAGGCACTGATTTTCCCAAGCCCATGTTATAGTAGACTTTGAGTTTACTATAACATGTTCCTTCTATCTGGGAAGGAACAGAGCACATGACCATTGAAGTGGCAGCAAAGACTGCACTCTTCAGGTTTAGACTGATGAACAATCCATCAGAATTCAGAACTACATGCAGTTAAAAGCATCACAATTAGCTCTTCTAGTCAATTTCAGGGAAGTATAAGACTTTTGTTATAGTCTAGTTGTTAAAAACTAATACTAAAAATCTTGGTAAATTTAATATATAACACAATTCATAAATATGGCATATATGGCACAGTATTTCACAAAACATGTATAAAGTTAAATTGGAATGAACTGGGAACGGGACAGGTGTTCTGTCACTTTGTAATTCAGATATACATACTGTGCAGTATATCATAATAGAGGTTAAACTTTTGCTACAAAGTGAGGATAAATCTAAGAAATGCAGAAAATGCAAGATTTTACTGTACATTAACTCACGCTCCACTTGAACTGACTACATGAGAAGGAAATAAAAGTTTGAGTTGCTATGAAAGTGCCTCCACATGGAGCAGAAAACAAAATTCACAGTGTATTTTTAAATACTGGACAAAGGAAAATACCCACCTGCTCAAAGAATAAGGACGCTCTTATCGGGGCATTTGAAATAAACAGCACACAGGTGTTTATCGCCAGGAATTCACTCACACCTCAGTCATTTTCTGTCCGTCAAAAGCTGTTTAGTCACAAAATGCAAGATTTAAAGAATTGAATTATTTTATGTATCAATGTGTGAACTAATAAAATAAAGATAAATACATGGGATTAAATAGTTGGTTGTGGGTTTTTTGCAGTATCAGCTTGTTCCCCATACCTTGTGCTCCTGCAGAGCTCAAACCAGGAAGGGGGGAATTACGTGGAACAGGATACAGGTAAAGTAAATCCAAATATTGTTCAATAGTCCAGGCACAGTCATACGGACAGTGGACAAAGATTAAGGACTCCTAAAGTGTCTATCTTTCTTGGTAAAATGTCTTTTATCGTCCTGATACCAGACACAATTGAAGCCTAGTAAGACTGCTTGGGAAATATTAAAATAGTTAAATGATTTCTTAAGATAATTGAAGAAATGTGAAAGATAATTTTATGAATGTGGACCTTTGCTTTTATAGCCAATGACACACGTCATTTAGCTCTATTTTAACAAGAAAACAAACTCTTTGATTTAGATTATCTTTGAAGCCAGACATTACAAAGTCTCCACTGAGATTTAGTTTTTAGTTTGTGATGAGTGACTCAGTCGAAGTCTTAATCCAAGCTGGGTTTAATCTAGCGTGATTGTGCTGTCATGTGCAGAGCATGCAGTCAGATCCACATATCCCCTGCGTCCCGCTTCTGTCCTGTCAGCTGGGCCACTCAGGCACAGGGGACGCCCTGCCGGCCCGTCTTCACCTGTGTGTCCAGTTGCACTCAGCCATTGCAGAGTGGTAACTCTTGATATAATAAAGCTCTGTGTCTGCTTTTTCAAAGACTTTCAAAGTGTGGATTCCTTAAAGGTTTCCATTATGAAGGGAGCGTTAATGATGTGGTGATCAGTGGAACTGCTTCAGGCTAACAACACCCAGGTATTTGATTGTCAGTGTACAGTAGTTACAGTGCCAACATATATTATAACAGAAGTCTGCTCATAAGGCTTACACTTCTTACGATCTCAGTCTCTGTAAGACCAGGCTGTGTCATAAACAGACTGGGATATTTCTTCAAGGTCTGGTTTAATGTGTTACAGCAGTTTGTTTGCTCTAAACAATACCTCTCAGTTTTGATTGGTGGACGTCTCTCAGTTATCATCATTCTGACATTCAGCCGTGTTATATAAACCCAGGAGACGTGTCTAGCTCACCCAGCGCGGCCATGGCGTTTCTCCTGTTGGTGGGCTGTATGGCCCTCGTTGGCACAGTTTACGGTAATTAATCCTCTGTCATCCCTCAGCGAGGCAGGTGACACTGTGGAGCAGGTGTAAGCAAGGGCTGAACACCACAGCTCCGATCAGTCTGTTACTGAGGGATCGATCCTCACGCTTCACTTCTTAACTTCCTTGAAGGCAAAAATAATGTATCTAATCCATTCAGAGGCAGTTAAATGTATTACCTTGCCGCTGCTTACAGAATGAATTTATGTCAGAAATGTTATTGACATATACATTTTAGAAACACGATAAAATTATATGTGTTATTGCAATCTAAATACTATAAAAATTATTTTCCAGTATGTTTCTGCTATCTTAGCACTATACTGTATATGTAATTTACTCTTATTAAATGTGTCAGTGCTAGCTATAACATATTTATAGATTATAGCTGCTTTATTATTGCACCCACAACACTAACTGTTTCTGGTGAGTAGCACTGTTCAGCTGTGCACATCCACACAGTGCACAGCAATGTATGTTGCTCTTATTTTTGCAAGAAAGATCAGCCTGAAGCCCAGAGCCTGAGAAGACTCAGTACTGCAGCCCTGTGACTCAGGGGTCAGGCGTTACTCTGGGTCTGTGTGCCAGTGCCTGGGCTCAGGCTGTCGGTCTATCTGTGCCAGGGTGCGGAGTGCAGGAGATCAAGCCAGTGATCACAGGCTACGCCCGGATTGTGAACGGAGAGGAGGCTGTGCCAGGATCCTGGCCCTGGCAGGTGTCCCTGCAGGTAACTCCCTGCTGCTAAACACTTCTGATCATTGGTTGTAGTAGTTCTGAAAGCGACTGGTGGTTATTTTCAAGGGTGTCCATGGAAACAGATGCCATATATGCAATATGTGCATTCAGTGGAATATTCATTTCAATGTGATAACTGACAGTATTTGCAGTAAACAGGCCTCAGTGTAAGAAACGCTGTTATCATATCTTCCGCACACAGGACGCCATTGGATTTCATTTCTGCGGAGGCTCTCTGATCTCGGAGCAGTGGGTGGTAACTGCAGCTCACTGTGGGGTTAGGTCAGTACCTTCTGTGCACTGAACCAGGCTAACCCGCAGCACATAGCTGACTGCGCCACAGCAGACAACTGTGAAAGGCTGCACCATGATTTGAGTGTGCAGGACAGACAGCACATCCTCTGAGACCAGAGCCAATTATACATGCTGTTCTGCAGGTCTGAGAAGTGGTCTGCAAGATTATGGTCTGTTCAATCCTCAAAACACATACTATTCACTGTTTTTGTGCAAATTATTAGTCTTTTTCTAACACTTGCTGCAGAGACATGAGGAATTTGATTGCATCCTTTTTGTTTCCCACATGGTTCCATTAATCATACACATTTCCTTGAAATCATCTTTCTGCTGCAGTGTGAAAACTGCATGTCCCTGCATCCTCATCAGTTTTCATTGCTCTGGACTAAAACCTGGTCCCCTTTGTCACCCTGTATTACACCTACAACATTCTAAATGGGACAAGAGATTAAAAACATTGTTAAAAGGCAGAGAGATGTTTGAGTCCCATTACTTTCAGTGTGGAAGAAGTTTGTCTGTGCTCTGCAGGTCCAGCCATCGCGTTGTCATTGGAGAACATGACCGGAGCAAGAGCAACGAGGACATCCAGACCATGAGAGTGGGCAAGGTCAGGCCAGGGGGTTGTTCTGGGTGCCACATGGACATAGTTAAAGACATTAACTATCATTGCAGAATTCACTACAAATACTGAATGTGTTCTGGATTTGACTTGGAGTAGGAACTCATAAATTATATTCATGTGTTTGTAACCTAGCAGAAAGTAATTGAGCTCTTGGAGACCAATCTATAAATTAGCAACAGAACAATTACTTTCATGCTCAATAAATCAAAAAAGAAAAAATACATTTGTATTTGATAAAGAATTCAATTAAAAAGCAGCAGACACTGATATTACTTACCACTGATATGACTTACCTTGGAGCTCTTTGGAGGCTGTTCTTTCAATGTTACAAGTTTGCTAGATGGGCTAAATGTCCTTCACTAGTCTGTGACCGTTCTTATGCTCAATCAGTTCAATACTGTAATTAGAAAACCATCAATCTTGCCAAAGTAAGAATGTCAACCTGGAGAAGGCGTGAAGGGGATCACGCTGTGGTATCAAATTGCATGAAAAGACTGGTAATGAACAGTCCCTTGTGCTCCATCTCATTTCACTAAGTGTGTGACGAATTCCTAATGCAAGAAATTGTATATGGCTAAGAAAGTGATCTTATATTATATTAAACCATGTTGAATATAATTAAAATATATTAATATATAATACTCCATTTATATATTTTACAGCCACTATTATCCTTTAACTAATACCAGTCAATTGGACTGATTTCCCTTCTTCTTGCCTCTCAGATTCATTTTGCCAAGATTCCAAGTATTTGGCTGCATTATTATCCACGATGAAGTGAAATAACTCAGTGCAGCTCCAGCAGAGAGCAAGGTCACCAGTGAGAATTCAAGAGAGTGTGCGGAGCTAGGAGAAGGAACCATGACCCCTCTCTGACCTCTGTCTGCTCCCCCAGGTCATCACTCACCCCCAGTGGAACCCCAATACCATCGACAATGACATCACTCTGATCAAGCTCACTGCACCTGTAACACTGAATGCCCACGTGGCACCAGTGTGCCTGCCAGCCGCTTCAGATGTCTACAGCCCTGGCACCAGGTGTGTCACCACTGGCTGGGGGCTGACCCGCTACAATGGTGAGTCACTGACATCTAGCCAGCATCCACAGAACGTGTCTGAATATTGTGAAATTGTGCTAGAAGTCACGTTTAACACAGCAAGGAAAGCAAAAGCATGGTGCAAATCAAGGGGAAGCAGGGGAAAACCAAATGAATACATGTTAAATCATAGTGAAACCCAGGGAAAAGTGCGAAAATAACTCTTTATGCTGATTCTTGGACACTAGCTGCAGCATGTTTGTAGACTCCTCTGTTAAAAAAAAATCAGAGAATTAACTTGTTATGGTATTTTGTCTCAAAATCCCAAGATAGCATGTGAGTCTCTCCAGGCGCAATAAATATTTACCCCAAGAGAGGCAATGAAGACTAGGTAGGCCACTTGAGTTAGTCAAAGCAAATAGAGCCTCCTGTGTTAGAAAGGCTTGTTAGCCTGTCCTGTCTTTGCTCTGTGTGAGGTCTGTTGGTCCTCTCTCTCCTCCCCAGCTCTCCTCACTCCTAGCAAGCTGCAGCAGGCAGCCCTGCCCCTGCTGTCGCCCGAGCAGTGAAAGGCTCACTGGGGAGATAGCATCACTGACATGATGATCTGTGCTGGAGCAGACGGAGCCTCCTCTTGCATGGTAAGTTCAGCCCCACGGCAGGGGCTTTGACACAGGATAAACATCTTCTTGAAGGCCTGGAGTTTCAGGAAGCTCAGTATTAGTCTGAAATGGTGATCCAGGCAGTACAGAGAGACGTTGTGAATACATGTTACTGCTAAAGGCTGCCATGAGATGGCAGTGTGAGGTAAGACACTTCACTTCTCCTTCACTGTAAGGGAGACCAGTGAGAGGTCTGGTGTCTCTGAATTAAACCAGGAACACCAGAGGATGTCGCCTGTGTCTCCTGTACATTCACAACAAACAAAGACAAGCTAGCTGTACTTCAAGCAGCTGGACAAAAAAGACATGTTTCAAAGCAGATTTTATAGATATCTTTAAATAAGGAATTGCTTGAAATATAAAAAAAAACTTTAGTTTATTGCTTTAACAAATTAAGCACCTAAAGAGGTAACAGAAACTATAAGACCACAAAATCCTTAGAGGCTGGATTGAAACAACCTCTGCTTCCAGATATTTTAATCAGCTGGCACCACTGAATACTGCAGCTGTCTGGAGAGCTGCACCTGTACCAGTCCAGGACAGTTATCTTTGGCAGCGCATGCTGTTATAGATAGAATCCAGGGTGACAGCTGCCAGCTTCCCCCAGTATGAAGACCCGTGGGCTGTCTGTGCCCCCAGCTGACTGGCCCTGTCCTTCTCCTCAGGGCGACTCTGGCGGCCCCCTGGTGTGCGAACGCAATGGCGCTTGGAACCTGGTCGGCATCGTGTCCTGGGGAAGCAGCCGCTGCCTGACCACCACGCCGGCGGTGTACGCCCGCGTCACCGCACTGCGCTCCTGGGTGGGCCAGGTGCTGGCTGCAAACTAAGGCCAGCAGGCGCAGAGGCAGTCTGGCAGTGTGGCCTCATTTATTCCTCCATAGACACAGACAGACTCGTATGTGTTAATTTTCTAGTACTGTGGTGTGTGAGTGGGCACAAGGGGGTCACCTGGCAGAACTCCTTAAGGAGGGTGTCGCCTCAGTGGACCAGACTTACTCAGCCCTGTTGCATCCTCAGAGTTTCAAATACAACAGTCTCTACATTAGAGATCAATTTCAAAACTCATTACTCATCGCTGTTTTCTCTGTTTTATTTTCATTGGTCATAAATGATACATTTAAAACGTGTTTGGGTTTCATTTTTTGTTACACATGCTAAACACAATATTGAACTGAAGTTAATTAAATTCTCCACTGATATGCCTGGGAAGAAGCCGTGGTTTGATATGATCCAGCTCATGGGTTTCCATTTTTAAATAGATGACAGATTGCATAGCCATGTAGAAAAGTTGAGTCCTGCATAGCTAAACTAGCAGATTATATCTCAGGCATGATCTGTAATTGGCCTGATTAAGACAGATATTATTTCAAACATGAATAAGGAAATTCAAATCAAGAACAGCATGAAATAGGGGAACAGGAACTCTGCTGCTGGTTTTAGAGTTCTGTTAAACATTGGACACTGGATTCCCACTGGTTAATGTGCAGAGGAAAAACATCAGCGGGTCATTTAAAAGCAGGAATTTCAAAAGGTGTAGCACCTGAGGCAGATTTCTGAAAGTAAATATCATGAAATAAAAGACCATGAAGGTGTAGAAAAGATAGTTTTTTCATTAATATTATTGTAGCTGAATTCTGTGTGGGGATCAAAGAACAAAATAAAATAAATTTTGCAGTAGAGGAAAACAGTTTGAAAATAGCCCTATCATTCACAGAGCACATTCAAGACCCACATGGTGTCAGTCTCCACAGGTGTCTGGCTGAACAAAAAGAGTCCTTAATATCAGCTAGTTATGACCAGGCTCTGACAGTGGGAGAACACTGAGCTCCACAGGAGCACTAAATACAATCAGCATTGCTGAGGAAGGAAATCTATGACTTGTCAAATGAATTACCTGTAATCACACGTTGTTTACAAAGATACTGCAGAATAACAAAGTAAAGACCTTTGGATTCACAGAGGCCATTGAGATTCCCCTTAGAGAACCAGGCTTTAGGCAGTAGTAGTTCAGGTGGGTAGCTGCGTCAGCATGCGTAGGCTGCAAAGGAACAAGTACTAGGTTTATTCCATGCTGAAAAAAAGAAGAAAGAAAAGAAGAAAGAAAACACAACATTTCGGCCGTGGAGCCTGAAGTTTTCTTTCTTCTTTTTTTCAGCATGGAATAAACCTAGTACTTGTTCCTTTGCAGGCTTTTGGCATATTGAGAGGCTTTGATGCTCGCTTGGGGTGCACAGCTTCAATGTGTGAATCAGTGGTCAGAGCCTGGTGCTACAAACAGTAGCTGAAGGAACAGTAATAATAACAAGCAAGTCAGTTTAAGCCTTCAGGACTCATGAATAATGACTCTTGGCTTTACAGGGTTTACAAGCTCTTCTTTGTCCCATTGAAGCTCTTCCCATTTCAAGCACTCAGAAGCATGAAGATATTGAGTGTTTTCGAGCAGGTCGATAACACGCAGCACAGTGCTGTGACACATGAGACAGTGTGCACTGTCTCCCCGCGGGGCAAACATTCGGTATTAACAGCTCCGACACCAGCAGCAGCTGTCTGTGGAAAACAAGGGAAAGACAAATTGAGAGAAATGATAACTGTGTTTTGCTCTTGGGTACCTCGACTCACATGTTGCTGTGAATATCAGATGTTTTTTAGGAAAAACCAACCAGGACTGTCCTTCTGTATTCGAGAAACATACATACACTTTGTGTTTATAAAAAGTGCAGATGCTAACACTGCCGATCCTTGAAACCTCCCTGCACAGGCCAACCCGTGTTCACGGCTGGTCCCCATGGCAACTGCCCTTACTCCCCCAGGGCGAAGACAGTCCTGTGGATTCGGCAGACAGAAGCCAGGCCACTACTTTCACAGTCCCCTGATGAGCAGAAAACTCACTGACTCTGAAAAAAGTAGCAAAGAAAAATCTGTGTTTTTTCACATGATATTTAATGTCTATTTTTGCTTTTTGCAATAATAAAAAACTATCATTAGTTTTCAAGCACAGTTAAGAGCCTTTCAGGAATGTGCAGTGTGACTGTAGAGCTGTGAAGGGCCATCAGATTCATTGTATAAAGTGATGTAAAGCTGAGGAGCAGCTTTTGATCTGAGTATGTTGTGTAGCTCAGCACCAGCTTGGTCATATCTAACACACAGCAGAGGTGGTGAGTGGAGAAAATGCTGCTTGTCTTGAACTTCCTCACATCCTTGCTGTTGGCGATGCAGGAAGGCAGATGGCAATATGGAAGGACTGGCTGTTGAGGCGTGTCATGTGACCTGGCTGAGGACTTCCCAGCCCAAACAAGCGCATATTCAGATTCCCAGATACACTCACGTCTGTTTCATAGATTGGAGGAGGATTAGTAATATTTTTACAGATACTGTATCATCATAGTCTCATGAGAGTATTGAACAAGCTAGTAAGCAATGTTTTTTAATCCAACAGCCTGGCTTCTTCCCTGAAGAAGCTGGATGAGATCATTGGATCAATTATGTACTCAAGATTAATTAGGCTAGATGGTGTGGATGGCCTTCTCTCTCCTATAACTGTTCTTATGAGATGAGATGTTGTGAGATGCTGTTGCAGCAACCAGTTAGCCAATCTAAATGAAAAAGATAAAATACTTATGCTTCCTACCTGTGGACATAAAGAAAGAATTATCTTCCTGGTGGGCAGGTTCTAGTCAATGACAGAGATTACATCACCTCCTGGCAAATTCAGAGGGCAGACTCGGTATTCCTATGCTTTTGGGGATTAACTGGACTAGGTGTGAGCCTTGTAATACTCAGCCATTTGCGGCTCAGATAATCTGCAAGACACACCAACATGGCCCCATGGCCACAGGTGTTCCCTCTGCACAGAGGGTGGGGGGTGGCAGCTGCTTACAATGACTGCCAATGAGTCTGCATGGAAATCAGCTGCAGGAGCCAGTCAAGCATAACATCAGAGCAACCAGGTGCCCTGTTTACAATAAAGAACATTTCACCTCCAAGATCTGGGCACTGAGGGCTGGGCATCCAAACTGAGACAATTGTTGCACTTGAGCAGTACTGACAGGGTGTATCAGCTACTCAGTACTCCCTGACACCGCAGTACATGATGAAGTCCTGTCAGCGCAGTGGGGCGCTGTGCTCCTGCAGGGAAGTGTCTGGTTTGAGACCAGCCGGGGTTTGCATGACGAGCATCACCCCTGGCTATCAGCTGTGTGCCATTCTCCACGCTCTCTTAATTAAGCCCCGTGAGAGGGGCTCAGCAAGGACTCAGGGACCTCTGAGTTTCATGCTTTGAATACCAATAACATTGTTATTATTTACCTGATGCCAGTAACTCTATCCATGAGAATACATAACCTACAGTAGGTGTAGCAGCCCTTCTGATTGAAGTGAGACTGTCACGCATTCAAACCAGCTGGCCTCTATCTAAATTTCCAGGAGCCAGAGGACACCAGCCTTCCACTCTCCGGATTAGCTTGGATTGCTTTGGATTTGCACAGGTGAATGAGTTTAAGGAGCAGAGAAAAACAGGTGATGGAATTCAGTTTCTGTCTGAATTAAATTCATCTCGCTATTACTGCAAGCACATGCAGAATTGTTGCACTAGGTCACACAGTGGCCAGCAGGGCTCAAACCGGGGGTGTAGGTCTGCCCCCGGCCAGCACCAGCTCACCCCCCCCTCCCCGTGACAGATCAGGATGGCAGGACAGGCTCTGGTTTGTCTCGGTGTTCCCAAAAGAGATCAAACCATTGAAATCAGCTATTTTTAATATCTCACCACTGGAGAGATAGAGCAACCATTCATTTTTGCCATATTATTAGGATTCAATGTAAAAAAGTGTGTGAGGTTTGACAAAAATCCGATCTTCCATGCCATTCTTTTTTATCTGTTTCATTATTACATCAGAAGTGTCTCAGTAACCTAGAGCTGAGAACAGTATGTGTTTGATTAAGGAAGGAGAAGCCATTTGAGGTTTTTCACACCCCAGAGGAGTAATAAACAGGGCACATACAATGGCCTTTTGGCTGATAAATATTTTAGAGAGACAATATGTTCACACCCTTATCTGTGTTAACTGAAATAGCAGTGACTGTGTCTAATTAATAAATAACAGAGCAGGAGTTTTCCCAGCTGACTCAGTAATGACAATAACCATCACAGCAGCAGTGCATTAACCAGTCTCTCAGGACAACCACAACCTGCATCCCAGCTTCTGATTATGTTAACTTGACATCGCTCAATCACAGTCCTCAACATTTACCCCCAAAGGTCACAGGGTCACTCCTCTGAGCTTGCACATCCACAAGAAGACACACAGCAGCCTCCCTCATTGCACAGACACACGTCCTTCCTTTGTTTTATAAATCTAACAGAATTAGCACACTATTGCAATACAATAAAACACAATTCACTCAAAAATGATTAAACAGAATTCTCATTAGCAGTACTAAAACATTTGCTCCCATTGGTGCCATGAAACACCATCCAGTGTATAACTGGGTTTTCTGAATAAGAAACCTGTATCATTACGGCACCACTGCTGGTAAACTGTGAGTTTACAAATGAGTCTTGTTGTAATAGTTTCCTTTCCCTGATGGGGTGTAATCTGTGTGGATGACACCCCAACTGCAGTTTGCTGGATTACACCTAGTTATACAATACCTGGGGAGAAATTTCAAATTTATTATTTAAAAATATCTGTTAGGTCACCTGCTGTTGAGTCAGTATGTGGGTAGCTTCATGATCTTCTCCACCCACCAGTCTCATTTTATCAGAAACAGCTGATTTACTCATTTTTAATGTTCCATTATGAGAACAGTTGTATCTCAGATTAGTGTAATTTACTGAAACAGCAATTACAATATATTTAAATTAAATAACTTTTAATTTAACTTTAATATTTGTTTCTGCATTTGTTCCTAGAAAATCTTTCATAGTTATTTTAACAAACGTCTAGAGAAAAAATATATTTTTTTAAAATCCTAATGATGGAGCATTCCTTCCACCTTCATAGCAATAAAAAGTAATTTCTAGTGATCTAAGTTACCCCTTGTTTTTTTATTTAGTGAACACCCTGGTTGTTGACAGAAGGCATTTTTCATTAGCA